AAACAGTGGCTACAGCCACCAAATGGCCCGCCCTCACACAACTCAGCGAGGCACCCAAAGCCAGGTCCTCACCTGCTCCCTGGGCTGTTACAGCAGCAAAGTTGAGAACAGTTTCAGTCTTGGCTACCTGCAAAACTTTTCAGCTTTTCTCCCCTGGGCTTGGCTGCTGGAAACCTCTCCACATCCTTGGGAGGCCAGCAACAGCCTTCTGGAAGATCATCATGGTGAGGGCAGGAACGACTGACCCCAGAATTGCTAACCCTGGGGCCTCTCATCTCTTATATTCCCTATTAGAGTCCCCACCCTCAATGATTCTTTGTTGCCTAAGCATATTCCACCTGCTGGGAGAGCCTCCAGGGGCATCACCTGTAACGGACTTTGACTTCAGCCAACCTGGGTTACAAAATCACCACTAGCCCTTGTACCTAGCACTTGCCACCAGTGTGGGCATGGATAGGCACTTTCCTTGTATTTCTCCCTCCTTGTGTCTTTATGACAAACTTAAGAAGCAGGGACTGCCCCCCACCTCACCCCCGCCACTGTTTTTCAGATCAGGAGAGATTAATTAACTTTCTCAAGACAAACTGGATGCCGTCTGAGTCTTCCTGGCGTTTCTCAGGTTAAAGATGGGGGATAGGAGTGGAATGACCCCAAGCAGCACAGCCAGCTAGTGTCACCCCTGCTAGGTGACTGCAAAGATGCTTCTTTCATCCTCTCCAAGTACAGGGGAGGTAAGAGGGAAGAGGAATGGAAAAAGAAACAGAGAGGCCCTTCCTGGTGACACAGGAGTTAAAGTGCAGCACTATGAAGCTGTCCACAGCCATTGCTGCGCGAGTTCCATCCCCAGCCAGGGAGTGACCCACAGGGCACAGCAGACCTCTCCTGTCTCCCCGCTCCTCCCCTCAGCAGTGTACTTCATCTCGATCTGCCTGTTCTGCTCCCCATCTGTCTCTGGTGAATCCTCTCAACCCACACCTCTAGCCTGTACCTCAAATCTTGTGTAAATCTGCATAAGTAAATAAATCTTTTTTTTTTTAATGAGAGGAAGATGCATTCTGAGGAAGAGGGGGGGGAGTGACAGATGGAAGAGATTAAGAGGGAAAGAGATGAGTCACAAGCCAGGGAGGGTTGAAGGACACACCCAGTTACCTCACTAGTAAATCAATCCCCCTTCACCATAAAGGAGGTGCTGGAACCCAGGGGCCCCAACGGCAATGGAAGGTTGGGGGTGACTTTCCCACCAGGGAACCTTTGAAAAGAGATGGGAGATGGGAGTGAGGGGCTGTGAGAATGATGATGTGAAGGTGAGCAGCTGGAACAAAAGCACAGAGCTGAGGTGAGCAAATGGCTTGACTCCTGACTCTTTTAAGGGGTTCCTCTTCTTTGGTCTTGATGGAACCCATAGATGTGAGGTCCTTCAGAGAAACTGACTTTTCTCTTTCTCTTTCACACCAAGTATCATGGGATCAGGAATTGGGGGAGGCTTCCAAAGCCTTATAAACACAGTAAGAGCCAAAGGAACAGAAAACCTAACCCAAAACCAACCCTAGAAATCTAACTGGGAGTTGAACCTACCAGAGGGTGGGGTCATGGAAGACAGCAAAGTGGAGGGGGGCTTCAGTGGTGAATTACGGACGATTTGGTGGTGGGTGTGGAATCAGCATCACCCAGCTATAGAACATCTCCAGCACCTCAAAATATTCCTTCTGTTCCTTTGCAAGTAATCCCATTCACTGAGCCCAGGTCTTGACAACCACTATTTATTTCTGCCCCTCAATTTTACCTTTTCTAGAATTGCAAAGAAGTGGAGTCATACAGGACATGCTGCTTCATGCTTAGCTTCTTTTACTCATGATTTTTTTGATATTTCTATATATTTTTTATTTATTATTATTATTATTATAGTGTATTTTTACATCATTTTGTGTCTTTTTCCATCTTAGTTGTAACCCCCATGGACTTCCCATCACCAAATCACCCATGTGCCATCACCATAGTCCCGAGCACTTCCTCCCCCCACATTTTTGATCCCTGTCCCACTCCACCCCCCTAAAATGTCTTTGGTATATAGTTGTTCATTATTATTCTCCCCACCCCAACCCTTTATGCTCCTGCTATGTCACTCATGGTTTTTGATGGCTCCATACTGTTATGGATGCTAGAATTCATTTGCATTTATTGTTGAGGAATATCCCAAAGTCTGGAAGTACCACAGTTTATTCATTTGGATATTTGAAGGTGTATTTGTGCCATTCATGGCCACTCTACCCCAGTGACCCATTTGGAAGATATCCAAATGTCCTGCAAATATCCAAATGTCCTTCAAATATCCAGTTTCCAAATGGGTCACTGGGAATAGAGTCGCCCTGAGTAGCACAAATACAAGTTCAGGAAAAAAAAAATTAAGATAAAAGATTTAGTCAAATGGTTGCATTGTCCGTCCATGTTGTCACATGTTTCTGTTCTCTTGCTTTTTGTGTTGATAATGAATATTCCTCTGCCTAGCTAACCCTCATTTTATTTACCCATTTATGAGCTGGCAGACATCTGGGTTGTCACCATCTTTGGGTTATTGTGAGCAGTGCTGCTCTGAACATGAGTGTACCAGGTTTTGCTTGAGCACCTGTTTTTAATTCTTGGGGGCAATATGGTTAGGAGTGGAATTGCTGAGTCATTATCTAGTTCCAGAACTTTTTGGTCACCTCAGATATAAACCTTATACCCACAAAGCAGGGGTTTCCCAGTCTACTACCATCACCAGTCTTTGGCAGTCACTAATCTGCTATGTTGATTTGCCTTTTTCTTGGTGTTTTATATAAATGGATTCATGAACAATGTGATCTTTTGTGTCTGGTTTCTTTCATGACTACCAAATACCACAGAATTGCACACTTTAAATTGTAAAAAGTATCCATTGGGGGGGATATGTATTTTACACATAAATGCCATTTGAACCATGGACTAGCCTTCAGACCTCAAAATACAGTGACTTCATTTAAGAGGCTTGAGGTAGGTCTGCTCCATGCCGCATGTTAGAGGTGGGGAAGTGCCATGCAACGAGAATCTCACAAGCTCATACAACTGGGACAACTGAGCCAGGCATGGACAGCAAGTCTACCTGACCCCATAAACCCTGTGAGACACATACGCACACCTTAAAGAAAAGGTAAAAATCCAGCAAAAAGTAACGGGCCCTGGGAATGTGAGAGACAATCAGGAAGGAAAAAAACAAAATGGAGAAGAAATGAGAGAAAGTGATCAAGGAGAAGAGATGGAAGGTGACGGAGAAGGAAGGAGGAAGAGAGGAGAAAGAGAAGGTGCCGCAAAGATTGGCAGCTGGGAAGGGCTTCAACCCCACACGGGTCAGATGCATAGCACCGCCAGCTTGAGAAGAGGACTGAAAGGCTCAGTGCGGCAGCTCCCCCGTCTGGACCTCAAGTTCCTGCTTAATTGGCTTTAAGGTTTATCCAGGAAAATACAGTGACCAAACAAAGAAAACACATGGATGACCCAGCCCCAGAGACAGACAGCGAGGACAGAGCTAAGAAACAGCAGTTTTACGTGCCAGGGAGACAAACAAGCAAAAAAATTCACCCAGGCTTTAGAAGGCATGCAATATTTTAATGTTTTTACTATCCCAGGGAAGAGCTGGAGTTCCAGAGTGGGAAAGGGAAGTCAGGGGTCTGGTGTAGAATGAGGGAGACCCCCGGCCTCTTCCTTCTGTGCCCACTTCCCTTGTCCTTCTTTGTGGTAGTGGACAGGGTGCCCCTTGGGGGTCTAGACTGTGTGGGTTAGGCCCCCAAAGTCATCTGAAGCATCCCAGCCTCTCTTCACACTGTGTCTTCCTCCAGTCTTTCCTTTCTGCGCTCAGAACCTGGAACCGTCAGGTTCTAGCTTCTAAGAAGAGATCTCAGGGATCTTGTCCCGACCCCAAGTACAGTGATCTCAGGTTGGTGCCTTGAAATTGGCCATGGTGGGGAGTATTCACTCCCCAGAAATGGGGAAATGAGGGCTTTTCTTCAACCTTGCAGAGCACATGGCTGATCCTCCACCAGCACACAGCCGGCCTCCTTCCTGCCTTCTTTCCTTCTACCCCTTGCTTGGCCTGTAAAATCCACCAGTTAAAGGCTGCTGCCTACCCCTCTACCTCCCACCCCAAAACGAAAGAACTCATACTAACAAGTTCAGCAGAGTGACACCAAATGTCCAAAGAATGTCAAACCCCCTGAATATTCTGAAGATCTCAGTGTGCCTCCATCCTTGTGGGTCAGATTGGGTGTAAAGAAATACAGTATTTCTGGGAAAATGTCCTGAGGTCAAACTCTACAGTCCACTCCCAAACCCAAACCAACAATGTTCTAATGGGAATGGTGTGTTTGAAGCCACCGAGTTGTCTCCAAATCCATTTCTCTCCCTGCTCTTCAGTCATATTTACAAATCAGAAGCCACCACTATCATTGGCTCATGCCCGGCAGCCACACGATCCCACCCCATGTGGATGGGGGTTACCTCTAGGAACCCCTAAAGCCAAAGGAGAAAAATAAGAAAAGAGGAAACAGGCATCCTGCCATTCATTCTCTTCACAACTAAGCCCATCCCAATGCCCTAATAAATAAATGGCTGAATAGAGAAGTTTTTCAGAAGAAACTGAGAAAAATATAGAGTGATCAATATCAAACAGTCCCCCTAAACCTACCGTGTCAATCTGACCTTTGCGCAGCTTGTGACATTTCCAAATGAATTTTTTGTTTGTTTAACTGCATCATCAGCCTAAGTTTTCCTGATGGGACCTCTTGGAGTCTGTCTTTGGAATTTCTAGAAGGATCCGTAGTCAGCTGCTAAAGCTGCATCCCCAGAATAAAGTTACAGTCGATACTTCCTGTCTGTTCAAGGGCATTGTGACCTAAATTTTACCCCCAAATCAGTGTTTTCACTTCATTCCCCATACCTAAGCTGGGGAGAGGCAGTTACACAAGAGAGGAGAAGATGGCAAAGTCCTTCTACAAGATCTGAAACTTCCAGGCACTCTGGTCCTTGTAGTCCAGGGTATCCAGAGGGTTATAGGTGAATTTCCATGTGCCTGCAGGGTCTTTGAATTCCAAGCTGTCCACAGGGTTGTAGGTGCCATAACTCTGGCCTGACAGGGAGGTGGGCGACTGGGCCAGAGAGGGTCCCACAGAGGGGCCAGAAATGGGGCTAAGTGCCGGGCCCCCCAACTGGGGCACCATGGGAGAGAGGTAGGGATCCAGCCCACTGAAGTAGGAGCTGGGAGACCCATAGGCTGAGGGGGAAGAGCAGAAAGCAGAGGCTGGGGCATAGGTCATGGCGTAGGGCGCTGAAGTCAGAGATGGCCCGGAGGCCGCTAGCCCAACCCTCTGGGCCTCAGGCAATGGGGACTCTGCGGCTGGGCTCCAGATGGACACAGTAGCCACTGCTGTGGTGGGGGAGACTGAGGGGCCTGGGAGAGGTGGACTGTAGGAATCTGAGATGCCCAGGGGGTCTGGACAGACATCAGTAGAGGGTCTGGGGGATGCAGTCTTCCTCTTGGCCGGGCGAGCCTTGGCTGGCGTCCCTGGGGGCTGCTGCTGCTGTTTCTGCTGCTGCCGCTGCTGTCTACATTTAGCCCTGCGGTTCTTGAACCAAACCTGAGGGTTCAAGGGGGAGGTAATGTCAGGCAGGTGAGTGGGGAGGAGGCCCGGCAGAGCCCTCATGGCACTCAGGGATGAGGGAGCTTGATAGATGAGACACACAAGAGTCACACCTCTCCACTGGGCAATCAGTTATGAGACACTTTATGCATCCAGAACCTATCTGTCCATCTGTCCTTCTGTCCATTCATTCCATCACACACACATGTACATTCATTCCATCACAAACACATGTACATTCATTCATTCAAGCACACGTACCCACATCAACCCATCCAGTCATTCATCTAATTACTCGTGCATAGATCCAGTTACCCATACACACAAACATTCACACAAATACACAACCATCTATCCATTCATCTAATCATTCACACTTACATACTTATGCAACATGCATACATTGTACATACAGACACACGTGTGTGCCTTTGTTCATCCATGCCATTAATAAACATGCCTTAACCATCTTCTACTTCAGGGATGCATCAGTGGAGCTGACATTTAGTTGAGGCAGATTATACATAAACAGTAAGTCTATAAATATAGGAGGTGATTAATGCTATGGAAAAAAATCACTCGAGAAATATATGGGGGAGCAATAGAGTTGGGGGTGGGGGAAGTTGCAGCCTTAAATGAGGATGGGTGCAGGTCTTATTGATTGAGTCATTCATTGATAAACAAGGACTTGAGCCAGGTAACAGGAAATAATCTTCCAGGTAAAGAGAGCAGTGCGTGCAAAGGTCCTGAGGCAGGAGCATGTATGGTGGGCAGATTAGAGGAAGAACCAGGGTCCCTTGGCTGAACTGGAGTGAGAAGAGGCAGGAGTGTAAGAGAGGACAGGGAAATATATGGAATGCAGGATTCTTAGGACCCTCTGGGACTTTGGATGTTACTCTGTGACCTCTTCTTCCTCTCTTCACTGAGTTCCAGGCAGGACCAGGAGGGACCTAGGGGCCAGAACTGACTACCTGAACCCTGGACTCAGGAAGATTGATCTTCAAAGCCACCTCCTCTCGAGCATAGACATCTGGGTACTGGGTCTTGGCAAACAGAGCCTCCAGCTCCTCCAGCTGGCTCCGGGTGAAGGTGGTCCGTTCCCGCCGCTGCTTTCTTGGTGCACCTGGGTGGGCGCAGGAAAATGGACCCTCGTGTAACTAGAGTCTCCTTTTCTTTCATCCAGTGGGAGGCCCTGACAGTGTGTAGGACAAAGAGAAGTCCTTCCTGGGTACTCCACTGCCCGAGCAAAGAGGGTACCTGTCCCTGGATCTCCTAAACCTCACTCTGCTCACTGGGAGTTGGCCCTTTGCCATTTGGGGGCTCATGCTGCACCCTGAGGACAATTGCATTTAGCCCTATAAAGATATGGGCTTAAACTCACAAGTATGTGAGTGGAAGTTTGTCCTTTTAAATGCCTTACTGGCCTCCTTGGTGTCGTAAAGGGTTAAAGCGCATCACTGGAAGCTGAAGCGAGCAGCCACAGTTGAGCAGCCACAGTTTCAGCTCGGATTAGATCCCCAGCCAGGGAGCTGACCCACTTAGCACAGCAGACCTCTCCTGTCTCACCCACTGCTCCCCTCAGCAGCATATTTCGTCGATCTGCCTGTTCTTCTCCCCACTCTGTCTCTGGTGAATCCTCTCATTACCCCTGCACCTCTAGCTTGAACCCCAGTTCTGTATACATAAATAAACCAAATAAATAAAAAATAAAATAAAAGGCCTTATCCACTAAGACCTATTCAGCTAGGCTTTAACATTGCAGATATTCAGCCACTTCTAGCCCATGAAAGTGGCAGACTCAGGCTTCCCTTTTGGCACAAGGGCTAGGTCTCAGGCTAGCACCTCTGCAGCCTGAGTTTGATCCTGGCCAGGGAGCTGGCCCACATGGTGTAACAGACCTCTTTTGTTTGTCCACTGCTCCCCTCAGCAGTATATTTCAGTAGATCCACCTGTTCTGCTCCCCACTGTCTCTGGGGAGTCTCTTACCGCCACCCCCCTGCACCTCTGACCTGCATCCTACTTCTTCTATGCATAAATCAGTAAATAAATGTTTAAAAAAAAGAAGAAGTGGCAGATCCATCCATAATGGTCAACTTCATGCAAAATAAATAAATACCCCAATGCCAAAGAATAATGCCACAAATCAAACTTTGCTAACACATGGAAATTCTTCTGGTTCTCATCCCAAATCACCTCTCCTTCACTCATGCCAGAGGAAACCACCATCCCAAACATGTTACGAAAGCCAATCTGCTTCCCTGCACCCCAAGTGACATGGAGGAGGGTTCACGCTTGCAGACGAACACGCAAGGCTAGAGTATGGCCCTGATGTTGCACTGGCTCGCTTCATCCTAGGTGCAGAAGAACCAAGCAGGCCAGAAGATAGGGTCAGATTGGGGGATTGGGAAAGATCTACTCACTCGGATAGGACACGGCTTGTCGCATGAGATCCACACTGGGGCCACTCAGGGCCAATGTGTTGACAGAATAGGGGTGCCCCGGGTTCATATATGCCATCATGTCTTCAGGAGAGCTGTGACCGAGGGCAGTGGGCCTACAAGAGAAGTGGGGGGCGGGGGGGAGGATAGGATGTCAAACACTCCTAGTTGCTCGTCACTCAGTGTGTGGTGACCGGCTGGCTGGGTTTATTCTTAGGCATGTGACCTTGGGCCGTTCAACTCACCTCTCTGTGCCTGAGTTTCCTCCTTTATGAACCAGCCCTCTGTTTAAGGTTGTCAACAACTCTTCATAGAGACTGAGAAGCAAAGAGTTGAAACTGTCATGGAATTCCAACCAGCAGCTCTTCTTCCATAGCTGTCCTTTTAAAACTCATCCCACCACCATCCTCACCAGATCCTATTTTGCTGTGACCCCACCCCTCTGCCAGACTCCAGGAAAAGATGTTCATTTCCAAGCAGAATCAGGTTGTCACCTGGGATGGAGGGTTCTCAGCACCAGGATGGGCCCAGGTGACATGCCCACAGGGTCGTTGACCCTTTATGAGAGTCACATTATGATGACAGTCAGCAATGCTCTTCCACAACCATTTTTGACCTCTTGGCTCGGCAAGGAGCAAGGACTCCAGTGTTGGCCTCCGTTCGAGAAAATGGGATCTTGTCAGGTCAGCAGGAAGGGACTGGAACCCTTCAAATAAGTAACATGTCCGCCCTTTCTTTACCCCAGCAGTTCAGCTCCTCAGGGTGCCTGGGTCACTCATTGGGAAATAGCATTTCCATCTTGAGGTCACTGTGAGGGTTAAATGCCTTAGTACATGTCAGGTGCTTAATCTTTCTTTTTGCTTGCAAGCATATGCTTGCATGGACTTTACACTAAGATGTTTGTTTGCTTACTTGTTCTGTTTTAAGGGGTCTAGCCATCCACACGTACTCAGTTGTTTAAAGCTGTGGATTTATAACCTGTAAAGTGATGGGAACAGCCTATTGGTCCACCAAAGGTGACACCTTAAAGAAACGATGTAACTTAAGTAAATGCTATGAAGTAGGTCATGGCACAGCAGGACGAGGGCTGCCATTAAAAAAGTGTAAGGCCACTTCCTACACACCAAATCCAGCAAAGCCAAGGTTAGGCGGAAGTTCACAGTGGTGGGGATGTGCACTGGGTCTGTAGTCCCTGGGCCCAGAGCGTCCTTCTGCCCCTGAAGCCCATCAGGCTCTCCGCCCACGTATTTCTGCCATCTCATACTCACCAAAATGCAACTATCCTTTTCTCTTTTAGTGAGTGCAGGCTGGTAAGGGTGTGTGTGGGTATGCAGAGAACGAAACGGACTTTTCTGTTTATTTTGGTGTCCAAGTCTAGCGGATAAAATCAGGGAAGGTGAAATAATCACCTTCAACAAAGATTTTGTTTAAATATTTATATCAGGCTCTTTCTGGTGGCACAACAGTTTAAAGCGTAGCACTGTGAAGCTACCCACAGCCACTGCAGAATGAGTTCGATCCCCTGCCAGAGAGATGACCCCCAAGGCGCAGCAGACGTCTCCTGTCTCCCCGCTGCTCCCCTCAGCAGTGGATTTCGGTCTTTCTGCCCGTTCTGCTCCCTGCTCTGTCACTGGTGAGTCCTCTTACCCACCCACCCCACCGCCGCATCTCTGGCCTGTACCCCAGTTCTTGTATGCATAAATAAATAAATTTTTAAAAATGAATCTTTAAAAAAAGAAAAGAAAAGAAAAGGTAATCTCAAAGGTTATGGTTTCGTTGCCCTGCGGGACTTGAACCAATTTCACAGCTAACCTGTCCAGCTTCCTTCCAGCAACCCTGGGCTTCATAGCTGCCTTAACCTCTGCCGCTAGAATCATCTCTGAAAGAGCCAGCCCCCTCATGAGTGACTTCCAAAGATCTTTGATCTGTGTTCATTATCTGTGTCTTTAAGACAGATTCCAATGTATCTTTTTATACTGTATTGACAGTAGGTGTCTGTGTGTGGGTATCACATGTTGTATGTGGCCAAATTTTACATACCGCCAGCTGTGCTCCAGACAGAGCCAACATGTAACTTAAATTCAAAGGTGATGATGAGCATGAATAGCATGCTGCCATGTTTAGATTAAACATGCTGTGATTTGTAGTTTTTAAAACAAGGCAAAAATTAAATCTTTGCATATATATATACTTGTATTTGTATGTGTGTATATATTTCTATATGCATAAAAAACTGGTCAGAAGAGGCTACCTCTGAGCAGGTGTGCTGTATACATACCTTGGTTGTATACTTTGGATTACTTGCTAAACTTATGTACATGTTACTTTTTCAAAAACAGGAATAAAATCTGTTTAAAATAGGCCCTCCCTGGTGGTGCAGCGGGTTAAAGCACAGCACTGAGACACTAAAGCCACTTCTGCATAAGTTCAAGTCCCGCTTGTCCCGGAGGTGACCACATGGCGAGCAGACCTCTCCTGACCCACCCGCTGCTCCCCTCAGCAGTGTACTTCATCAATCTGCCTGTTCTGCTCCCCACTCTGTCTCTGGTGAAGCCTCTCGCCACCCCTGAGCCTCTGGCCTGTACCCCAGTTCTGTATATACAAATAAATAAATCTTTAAAAAAATCTTTTTAAAATAAAAATTTAAAACTTTCCAGGACACCCAACTGCTGGCATTAAAAGACCTTGGGTAACCTCTCCGCCTCTCAGTTATCAGCCTAAGCTATTCCCCAACCTCACATGCTCCCAGCCAGAATCATCCTACTTCTGCGTCCCTGTCCCTCAGAAACTCCATTAGATCATACACTTATTGTTTGAAGATACTAAATTGGGGGGTCCCTTGCTGCACAGCTACAGAGTACTAATACACAAGCCTCCCCTCACAGGATGTTGGGGCTGCTGGGGGGATACACGCTGCATTTATGCTTTGCTCCCACTTTTTCAGAGCAGAACATTTGCAGGCTCAGGCACAGAGATTTGCCTGAAGCTTCTGGGGGTGGGGGTGGGGGTGAGGGGGACCCAGGACTCCAGCCTTGGAGAAGTCTTCAGGTCTGGTCTCCCAGCCCCCAGTCTGGGTTCCCTCTGTGCCCTCCATCACCTCCAGTAAGTAATGTGGTTTCATCAGAACCACCAGGGAATGGTTGCTGGTGCACACAGGCAGCCTGGCACGGCCAGAGCAAAGGCAGCCACTTCCGCATGGAACCTGTCCAGGGTTATCCCAGGTGATTAGGCCTTTCCTGATCACCTGGAATTCTCTCCCACCCTACGGCTAGGGAATCCGAACCTCTGGGTTCTGGCCCCAATTTCAGCCACTGGTAAGGATAACGACCCCCAGGATCCATGGCTTTGCTTCTGCCTCAGGAAGCAAACTTTTGGTGGACATGACATCAGTCAAGGGAACAATCCCAGAAATCTATCAGATGTCTACTGAGTCAGACAGGGGGATCTCGGGACCTCTGGGATTTCTTCCCTCATATTTTGCATCTCCCTCTCAAGGAGCACAGGTAACAACTCAAAGCTTGCCTCGCATTCAGAATTCACAAGTCTGTCAACAATTCACCTATTATTAAGTGAATTTCTAGCTGCCAGGCTATGTTGACCCTCTTGGTAGAACCAGCCAAGACCACCAAGACACTGCCCCTACCCTGGGGCCCCTCCTGCAGGCCAAGGCTGCTACTGCTGGTCCACAGCACACACCCTTCCAGCTTCCCTGCTGAGCAGGGGCTCTGACAGTTCAGGCCCCAGGGCTCACACCCAGCACAGGCACAGTAGAGATAATCCCCTTGGACAACTAGGGAAACTGAGCCTGGGGCAGCAAGGCACCCAGGCAGGGTCAGGCAGCTGACCACACCCCACCCAGCTCAGCCACCTCAGCGAAGGAGGGCCCGCAAACTAGATCTCAGGGAACCAGGACCCCAGGGGTCACTTCCTAGGCACGGTCCTGGGTCACCCCCAGCTTCCCAGAGGAGGAACCCCAGGCTCAGAGTGGGGAGGAGCCCATCACACAGGCCAGTGGCAGAGGCAAGGTTGAGCCTGCACGTGGCCCCCTGGGCCCCCAACAACCTGTGCCCCTCCCTCCCCACCAAGCTCCATGGCCTCTTAGGCTGCTCCCCATGGAGCTCAGGTGTGTGCATCCCAGGCGCAAGCTGAGACTGAGGCAGGTCCATGAGGCCCGAGGTCACGTGAGGGACAGGCACAGCCAGGGTAGACGCAGCTCTCTCAGGGCCACTCGGCCTCCGCATCTACCTGGGATCCCCCAAAGGTGATGAGGACAGTCCCTGGCCTTGCACCACTGCAGGATGGGAGGTGACCCGAGCTTTTCAGGGTTCACCTGACCTCTGTCACCGCTTGTCATTGTCCCACTTTGCAGCTGAAACTGAGGCCCAAAGAGGCCACAGACGGGGCCCATGTCCCAGGATGGACATACCCTGTGCTCCTATCAGCAAAGACCGACTCGCCTTCTTATCAACCCCGTACCAGTCAGTGGACACTAAGTCTCAAGCAAAGCCCTCTCTGCCCCCTCTTCTTCTGTCCCCTCCCTCATCTCCTCTGCTTATCCAACAGCCCCTCACCTTGAGGAAGGAAGGATGACAGGGCTCTCCTGGTGGCCCAGATCCCAGGCAGAGTGGTCAGATGGCAGAGGCTGAAGGAAACAGGTTCCCTCACAAGGGGAGATTTTAAGCCCCGCTGGGAGTGATGTCATTTGCTGTGGCCTGGATCTCAGGGTAATCCTGGCCTGGGTGGGGGACTCCAGGAGGTGACATTGGCTGGCAGGGGGAGAGGCACCGTCTGTCTAATCCCTCCGCTCCTCCCCCAGCACATCTTGGCAATTAGGGCTGATGAGGAGGGAGGCCCAAGGGGGATCAGACCCCCCCTCTTCAGGGAAGTTCTTCCTTAGGTCTAACCTGTGTCTCTCCAGCTTCGGCTATTGTCCTGAGAGAAATGCATCAAGGAGGAGGGAGAGAAATAAGGAGTGTACCTGAGCAGACATTTGAAATACAGGTGACAACGGGCTCTCTGGGTCACTATCCCTGTGATAGGCCCACAGTGCTCTTTGCAGCCTCAGTTTCCCTTTTGCTTCTG